GACAAAAGCCCCCTCTGCTCCAGTAGGATGTGCACCCCAAAGAAAAGGGGTGGTCTAGGTCCTGCCCCCTTCCTTTCCCAGTCTGGACACAGCCCACCCGCTTCTGGGCAGGGCCCTCCTAGCGGGAGCCATATTCTCCTGTCCAGTGCAGGGCTTCCCCATTAGCAGTACTTCTGTCAGTCAGGGCGTCCATAATTAACCTAAATCAGTGGTTCTCAACCTTTTTAATGCCGCGACCCCCAACCGGTCGTAAGTCGAGGACTAAACCGGTCGTACGTCGAGGACTAAACCGGTCGTAAGTCGAGGACTACCCAACCAGTCGTAAGTCGAGGACTTTCCCTGCCTGGGAGCGCCACGCATGCGTGGTTCCGCCCCCTGCGCCGGCCGAGGTGTAGCTGGCAAGCGGCAGAGACGGAGCAGGCCGACCACCAGCTGGCCCAGCCCAAGGGAGGTAAGGCACCCGCCGGAAAAGGGGGGAAAAAATGGCGGACAAAAAAAATGGCGGACAAAAAAAATGGCGGACAGCCTTGCTTGGCGACCCCCGTGAAATGGTCGATCGACCCCAAATGGGGTCCCGACCCACAGTTTGAGAACCACTGATCTAAATGGTGCAGCAATGCATTGGTTCAAGTCACAGTAAGCAACGGTTACTTGAACAGACCACAGTGGCATAGTTCAGACGTGACCATTATGGGGGTGTGCAGCCCCAAAGAGATTTGGAAATCGTCCCATGGATCTCATGTGCACACGGCACCTCTTTGCTAATCAATAAACAGCCATATTTCCCCCCCCCAAGCTTTCCTATGAGCCTGAAAAAAGATGTGGCTGTTTTAAGGAGGAATCTCCTTAAACCAATGCGAGCCTTGAAGCACCCTGGAGCTTGAAAAGAGGGGCTGCTTTAGCAACGAGCAGCTGCTGCTCACACCAGGGGGTCTGCAACAGAAATGCCCACTTAGCCATAAACCCTGTCTTCTCATCACAGTCCCTAGGCTGATACATCACCCTAAACAACAAACCCTATAAAAGGGGAACAAGCACCCAAAGGCATTAATGTTTTGCACCATGTATAAAATCAACCTTATTTAGTGGATGAAAAGAAAAACCCAGGTGTAAAAATCTTAATGTGTTGGGGTATAATATGTACAGGGCACAGCAGGGTTCATCTTAACACCCATTAGTACATTTTGATTTGAATTTGAAAGGGAGACTGTATTAAAGGCTCTTTACTAGCCACAAGAAAGCAGTAACTAAACCGTGCTATTATTCCTTTAGGACTTGGAAAGAAAAACTACTTATCCCCAAGGTCACTCAGGACCACGGCCATCAAGTCCGTGAACACAGGTAAGTGTCAAACTCATGGCTTATTTTGGGAAACGTCAGCCACACCAGCCAGGGCACAAACAATCCAAGAACGCCCTTCAGACAATATCACAAAAGCCCAAACGAAGTGCCAGGAATGGGGCCTCCTCTTACCAAGGGTGTGTGTGTGTGTGTGTGTGTGTGAGCAAGGGGAACGTGAGATGCTGAGGTAGCCGTGCTGGAGCGAGCAAGGAGGTCTAGCCAGGTGTCAGCCATGGGTGACATCTCCAGTCTCCAAGGGCCACTCGTGGCAATTTGCCCAAGAGGAGAGCGTCTTACATTGAAGGTCCACATCAGGGGCATCGTGACCCTCTAGAGCAGGGGTCCTCAAACTTGGCCACTTTAAGACTTGTGGACTTCAACTCCCAGAATACCCCAGCCAGCCGTGGGAGTTGAAGTCCACAAGTCTTAAAGTGGCCAAGTTTGAGGACCCCTGCTCTAGAGAGTCCAGGCAGAGCTGACCGTGGGGAGAGGGGGGGGGAACACACAGCATGGCTTTGGCCCGATGCCAGCTCTCCTTTGGCACATGGGCTCCGTGAACGTGCACAGGCTTAGGAAAGGGGCGGGGCCTGCGTCACCATGCCACAACACGAGAGCGAAAGAGGCGGGACTCCTGCCAATCTCAGCAGGCCAAACACAAAAACATGCAAACATGCAAACAAACAAACAAAAAAAAAAGCACAACTCAAAGACCGGTCCTTCCTCTGACTGCTCCATCAGTGAAATTGGTTGGTTTTTTGTTGTTTTTTTTAAAAAAGCCAACTTTCTCAGCAGTCTGAGGATAAATGTGCTAAAAATAGAAATAAAATGGCCCCGAAGGTTATCCGAGAGCACTTCTGTGGCACACCACAGAGCGAAGGTCTTGGCTCAGGAGGGAATTTGTGGTGTGCGCATGGGAGGCTTTAGCACTCTCCTCCATCGACCCATCCAGACAGCTGGACTTGAGAGAGAGCGATCCAGAAAACACAAATTTTGATGCGTGGCAGAAAAGCATGAGTGACAGCTGTCTCCCCAGCGGGCTGGGGGCAGGGAGAGGACCACATCTGTAAAGGCCCCCTTGGATTAGCCGGCTCTGCCAATCAGGGCTTCAGGCTCAACTATTCAGCCACGTTGCTCGCCCGATCGGAGCCCCCGAGCCCCCGAGCCCCCGAATGCAGGCCACGAGGAGAGGCCGCCAGCCCCTCGGGGAGCAGCCGGCCGGTGCAGTGGGGCTGGCGTTACCTCCGGGACCCTCTCTCTGCGGCCTATGCCTTCCAGTCAGCTTGGTTAGTTGGAAAAGGGGCTACCAAGCTCCTCTCACCCCCTCCTCCCCCAAGGCCCTCAACTCTGCCTGGAAAACCGAAAGTCACCCTCCTCCTCCTCCTCCTCCTCTTTGCACTGCCGTTCCCAGGTCTCGGCCTCCCTGTATGAACATGATCTGGGTCTTTGGCTGAGCCGAGGCGGCAGCTTCCCGCGCTAAGGGATCCGGCCTGCCTCTCACCCCGGCTAAGCCAAGAGGGCAGCAACCTCGAGAGCAGGTTAGGGGTTTTGCCCCTGCACTCCACCCTTTCGGAGCAGGCCGGTGGTTTGGGTTCAAGGTTCCCCCCTGGGCCAAGGGCTCTGGCAGAATCCTGAAGCTCAAACTCTCCCACCCCTGTTTCTTCAGCCTGTTGGGCTTTTCCCAGCCTTCGCAATTCTCCAGTGCTTCCTCAGGAGTTTTAAACAAGGGGAAGGTGATTCATCCCTTACGTTCCTCCAGAACAAGACACGAAACAAACAAACAAACAAAGAAACTGTGAGGCACAAGTATGTCTCCTGTCTTATTAAAAACGCCCGTAATTTTCTTCTATTAAAAAAAGGCGTTCAAGGTCATTGCCCTCAAGGGCCTGCTTTCTCACACTCTCGGCCTGCTCACAAATGCCGCAACATTTAAAAAGAGGGTTTTCCTTCCAAAGCTTCTAGCCAAAGGGATACAAACACACGCAGAGACACCAGAAAAATATATATATNCTGCTCCAGGCCCGCAGGGACCGGCAGTACCTCAAAGTAGCTGGGCCGGTCGCTGGCCGAGTGGCTGATGTAGGGAGAGTAGGAGATCATGTCTGGGCGGTCAATGTTGTAGATGGCCTTGTTCTTAGGGAGAGCGGCCAAGTCCCGGTAGTCCAGGATTTCCTCCCCGAGCTTCGCCTGAATGAGAAGAGAGAAGGACGGAAGGTAGCAGCTTCCTTGACGAAGTGCAAATTGGAATAACAACAATAATAATAAAAATAAAAAAAATCCTGGCTCCGTACAATGGACCCACCAGAGATTTTAGAGAACTTACAGTGAGAAATTGCCGAGAAGCAAGAGAAAAGAAAATGAAACTTTTTCCTAAAATAGCGTCTATTTCTAAGAACAGGAAAATAGCTAACGTACAGTAGCTTCCGTTTTAAAAAGGGATTGAGGAGGGTTCCTGGAAATTATCACCAGTTTGCTTAAGAGCCATTCCGGGACGGCCCTTGTGGGGTGGTATCAGCCGCCTCAGAGGAAGACCAGGCCAGAAGGAAGGCCAGAGCTGGGCCTTTTATGGAGATGGACTACCCCTGGGCTATACGAATGCAGCCTTGCCAATCTGATGATGCTTTAACCCTCCTCCTCCTCCTCCTCCTCCTCACGGCCCAGGCTCTGCCTGCCCCCTCCACCGTGCTCCAAGGGTCCCCTCACCCCTCTCAGCCTCTCCCGTGACTGTGGTCCCTTCTCTGAAACAAGGCCGTCTGATGGGGCCCACGAGGCCCGCCTGGCCTGCCTCTGCAACGGCCTCCCACCAATGTCCGGCTGGCCCTCCAAAGGGTGGCACGAGTCCTGGGGCCAGGATGGTGGGCATCCTTGCCAGGGCAGGCCTAAGGCATGTTGGTGTTCCCAACTGGCTACTGCTTCTTGTTGCTCTGCTTTTAACTGTGATTGTTGGTGCTCTTTTTATTTTCTTGTTTGAGTCCAGCCAGACTCACACGGCTGTCTGAGCTGGTCAGCCACACAAGTGTCTTAAATAAATGCAAGCCCTCCACCTCACCAAACCCAGAGGCTCCTCCCAATGACGATCCCTTACAAATAACCGGCTTTCTAAATGGTTGTATTCTGGAAAATTCCTGCTTTCACGCTTATTATTAATTATTATTATTATTATTATTATTATTATTATTATTATTATTATTATTATTATTATTATTATTATTATTATTTTGCATTTTGCACCCATGGATACGTACATAAATTATTCGACTTGGGGAACCTGATGTACTTGAAGGAGGCACCGAAATTATGCTTTCAGACGATGTTCGGGTTTCCTGCAACTGAAAACAAATATAGGTATGAATTTTGTTACATATTTATTTTTGTAAAAATACCTCAAAAGCCTCCTGCTTACAGATAAACTTTGCCCTAAAATTATCAGGTAAAGGGCTCAATTACTTCAAAACTGGAATTTTTGTAACCAACTAGTTTTATAACCAACTATTTTTAGTTATAGCAACACGAGGAAAATAAGGATTTCACCCCAGAGGAAAGGTCCCTCCTTCAATGCCCCATCTCCCTTTTCCTTTTATTTCTCATGTCCCCGATCACGCAGGAAGCAAAGGAGGAGAGCCGGATCACTGGATCCATGCAAGCCAAAAATCAAGGAATTTGAAAAAGTGCCACCATCCTGATAGGAGCCTTCTAGGCCAAACGCTCCCCGTCTTGTAAACAACACACCCAGGACATTCCAGGACATTCTTGGATTCTGTCCACTCACTCACCTGACCCTTTCTTTACCTCCTTCTCTCAACCTTTCCAGGTGCAGTCATTTTTTTCCTGGTCCATCCCCCCCCCACCTAGCAAAGTCCAATAAGTCAGTTTCCGTCTGCTGATTCTCAGCTCCAGGAGTCCCTAGTACTGACCCAAAGGCGCTTTTTCCCCCCAAAGGGCAACTGGACTATTTTGGTTTTTCTTTGAAAACGTTTCGCTTCTCATCCAAGAAGCTTCTGCACTTCAGAACTGAAGAAGCTTCGTGGATGAGAAGTGAAACGTTTTCAAGCAAAAAACAACAACAAGAAAGTCCAATTGCCTTTTGGGGGGAAAAAAGCACCTTTGGGACAAGCACCATGACCCGGATGACGGAGAAACGCCACAAAGACTCGCGGTCCCTGGTATTCTTGATCTACTGGAGTCTGCCATTTTCTTTTCCAACTCATACATTTTATTTAAAGGGAGAAAGTGAAGCTCATCAAAACTTATGCCTATAAATAAACTGTGTGAGTCAGAAACAGACTACCCCTCGTTTTTCGCTAGCATGGGAGCTACAGGGGCTCTCCTCTTAGTAACTGTCTCCAAATCCATCGCTCAAGGGGACATTTTTCTCACAATTATCTCACTTGCACAGTTGCACAACTTCCTTTGACTCGTTGGAGACTAGATGAGACGCGTGAGACAGTCTGCCCAAGAAGACCAGACAGGAAACATGATGAGCGGTGAGCGAATTCTACTTCATCGTAAAGCCACATTAACAGACGCTTCCCACCATTTTTAACTTCCTAAATTTCTTCCTCTGACCTCTAACTCCCCCCCCCTCTCTTGTTTGATTGTTTCCTAGGCAGCATCTCTTTCCCTCGTCCCCCAAGGTCTTCACCCTCAAGGTCCCTTTCAAAATGTCCTCATCCTTTATCTTGGTTAAATCTATACTTGCCTTTCTCTTATTTGACCGGCACTCTGCCTGTCTCCTCTTGAACTGAAGAAAACAACACCTGCCCCCTTTCCTTTACTCATCACTAACTCCTTGTGTTCTCTGAGCACGGAGGCTGCTGCTCTTAAAATCTCACGGTCTGCATCCTTTTCACCTTCCCTTTTTCCATTCGGGAGGGGTAATTCTCTTTCACTTTCCCAACGGTTAGAGAGGATGGGCCCTGGTTTTTATTCCACCCGTCATTCCTTCCAAATATATCTTTGCTGGGTAGGGTAAACAGAGGTGGGGACAAGACCCATCCCGGTAAAAAGTGAGGTCTCCCTTGAGTGTTTAACTCAGTTTATTCAATCTATGGTCATAACGTACAAAAGGAAGAGAAAGAAAAGGTATGTCTTCCAGATAAAATATAGCTTTGAAGCCAGGTTAAAAAAAAAAAGATACTGACATTCTTTCTGGGAACAGTATATTTCTCTTGCTAGATCAGAATTTGGCTGCTGATCCTGAACATGGCAAAATTCAGCCACTGCCAGCCATGAGGGCTTGTACTGAGTAGCCAGTGGCGGTTAGACAGAAAGGCAGTTTATGCCTCCGGGGATGCCCACTAGACCAGGTGTTTCCAGCATCTCTGCCCCAAAGGCCCCAGAGCAAAGTGTGACTTAAGGGCTCCAGGGCATTCCAGGAACAGGGACATCATCGGTCGTTATGAGGGCCCCTTTGGATTCTCCTGCCAGGACAGCAGTGGGCAAAGCACCACAGAGAACCAGCAGGGAGAAGCTTCTAGATTTGCGTAGGGTCCCCTGCCTCCAATAGTTTCCCCACCCGGGAGCAGAGACATCTGAGCAGGGAGGCTGAATTCGTTTTGCCACTCTAAGCCCAGGATCCAAAAACCCCTTGCTTTGGCTGCCTGTTTATGGGGTGGCATCTGAAGAGTTTCACAAGGTCACCCAGTGGAACGACCGGTCCTTTCCCAGGGTGGGCTGGAGGGATCGGCCAATGCAGGGGGAATCAAGCAGTCCAACCAGGCCAAGCAGGAGGGAGGTTGGGCTCACCACCGCCTTTGTAGAGCTGCCTTGTGGTGGTGGGGCCTGGATGTTGGAGGGAGAGGCATTTGGACCGTCCTCTTTCCAAAGAGGCACAGTTGCAATGCAACCCAGCTTGGCTTCCACGCAATAATGGGGGGGGGAACCACCTTTAATGGCTCTGGAAAGAAAGAAAAAGCACCCCCAGTTTGACAGACGTGAGTTAGGGTGATGGCAGTCCCGGGGAGTGGAGCCTGGAGATTCCCAGGACATTTCCTTGTTGCTTTCTTGGGAGGAAAATGGAAACTTTTGCCAGTGTTGCATCAAAGAGGATGTTCCTTTGACCTCCCGGTGGGTGGGTGGCTGTGGGATTTCTGGACAGCCAGGAAGGGGCGGCCGGATGCTGCCATGTGCTCCGACAAAGACGTCCAGCAGGATATAAAATAAAATCCAGCCGGGCCCCCTTACCTTGGCCTTTTCTTCCACTTTGGCTGCCTGCCTACAGGCTGGGTGCCAAATAGAAGATCCTGAAAACAGAATGAGAGTCTCAGTTAGCTGTTTGTCCAAGTTTTTTCTTCAGCCTTCTGCCTACGGACGACAAACGACCGCTTTACTGGACGGTTCTGGATTACAGAGGGGAGCCCCCTTCAGACCCAGCCCTGCCCTCCTTCACGGACGGACAGACGGTGCCCTGGGCTGCCCTCTCTGCAAACATCCCCACAGCTTTTCTTCGGGGTGGGGGCTTCCCTCCAACTCCTGGCCGGTCTGACCTTCCAACACTCAGGCTGATGCCGCCATCTAGCTGGACAGCCAGGAATTAAACGGGGAAGGTTTCATTCCTTTGGAGTCCGGGGTAAATATGCTAAAGCTAAACCAAGTTCAGAGGGAAGGGTGATGTCTCCACGTGTGAGTTAATTATTTGCACGATTCTAAGTATGGGAAAATGTTTTGATCCTTTCAGTATCACGGTCACCGGAGACACAAAGGTCATTTGGGTATTATTAAGCAACCAGCAGCAGCTTTTTAGAAACACAGTGGGACAACTCGCTGTAGTGAGCTGCCCGCGGTGAGTTGGCTGCAATGAGCTGGCTGTGGCAAGTTGTCCTAGACCAGGGGTAGGCAACCTTGGCTCTTTTATGACTCGTGGACTTTAACTCCCAGAATTCCTGAGCCAGCCACGCTAAGGGGGAGAGGTTTCCATGCTGAGCCATGCTGGCTCAGGAATTCTGGGAGTTGAAGTCCACGAGTCATAAAAGAGCCAAGGTTGCCTACCCCTGGTCTAGACCCTTACAGAAATATATGCCGTAAATATATTTTTTTTGGGGGGGAAGAAATCACAGCCCGTTTATTCAATTATTTTTTAGACTATTTCTCTTACTGAAAGTGAATGATCCAAATGAAAGCTCTGTCTGGCATTGCATATGGAACAGAAACCTTGCTAACTGGCTGCCCCTCCTGCTTAAGATGCCCCCAGAGCCAGCTGTTGCAGACCGGAGGACAGCTGTTCTGGCCACCCCGGAAGTGGTTTGCATTCAATATGCAGCTCCTTCTCGCTACTGGAATTGTTGAGACATTTCTCAAGGGTGCTTTTTTCAAAAGGCAACTGGACTGTTTTTTTCTTGAGGAAGAAGAGAATGTGCTTCTTATCCAAGAACCTTCATCACTTCTGAAGCTTCATCGGTCAGAACTGATGAAGCTTCTTGGATGAGAAGCGAAATGTCTTCTTCCTCAAGGAAAAAACAGTCCAGTTGCACCCTGGAGACAACCGTGACCGAGAATCATATTGAGCCTCCCATTTCAAACACAAACTAACCGTCCTGAACTCCTGACAGGACATCTCGTGGTCGGAATATCTGGAATCGGATGAGAAATATTTGCCCACCCCAAACGTCGGTCAATTCGCAGGCCTGACTGTCCGAGGGTTGGTTTACCTTGAAGATACATCTCCTCTCCCTCGGCGAACATCTGGCTGCACCTGTCACAGCAGGCACAGGTGGGGTGGTAGTGCTTTTCTCCAGCCTGGGGGAGAGGGGGGGAAAGTAGTGAACATGAACATCACCACAGAGGGCACAATCACTTCCTGTCCCCTGAAGTGCGAGGCCAGTTGTGTTAAAGAGCCGACTCGCAAGTCATACATAAAACTGCTTCCGCCTGGCTTCAGGGTAGAGGCAGCTTTAAATATGTGAAAAGATCCTAAATACTCCCTCTTTACTTCACAGCGGAGATACAGTCACAACCTTGCTTTACAAAAGAAAATAAAAAGGCTGTAACTAGTAATTTATCAAACAGATGACAAAATGTAAAAAAAAAAATCTGCTTTACAGCTTTACTGTATTTTGAAATGATGATTTTTGTGGGGGGTTTTCCCCCCAGGTTTTTTTTTCACTTCTTGCAGTTTCCCTGTCTCTTCTGGTAGCACTTCATAAAATCTATGATCTCTTCCAGCAGGTGCCTGGCCAGTTCCTTTCCACACACCCTGCCCAGTTCCTTCCACCGGTTGCAGTAACTCTTCTGCCTGTGATTTATCTTTCGGCTTTAAATAGAAGGCTGGATTTAGCCTGAGCGTTGGATATAAGCCCCCTCTGTCTGCCAGGGTTTGCCGTGGTTGAACAACTCCGCCCCCCCCAGGGGATAAAAATCCATCCGAGGCCTTAAAGTCACTTCCTCCCATAGGAGCAGCGTAGGAAATGAAATTACACGATCACGATTGGGGCATTTTCTTTCCAGAGGGGGGGGGGAGGGCGTGGGGCAAAGAGCCTGCTGCCCTGAGCAGATGGACGCCACTGGGCTCAGGTTTTCAGGATCGGAGACGTCCCCCGTTCTCTGCTCCAAGTTTAAAAAGGGGGCTTTTAAAGTTCTATCCTGGATTTAAAAAATGAGAAAAATGGGGAGGGGGGAGGCAATCCATGGAGTCTCAGGCAAGGGAACCCCCATCACCCCCCCCCTTGGCCATCTTCCGCTGCTCGCCTTCCTTGAAATCCTGCAGTGTCCAAGAAGCAGGTCTGACTGGAGAAGGAAGAGCAAGAGAACTATCCAAAATAAAGATGTCTGCCTGGAGAAACAGGGTCTCTCCTTATTTTTAAATGACACTGAACAAAGCTTCTGCTACTGTGATGGAATGTGGCCTGGATTCCCAGGAGGGAGGGGCTGCTTTGGGAAGTGTGGGTGGCAGGAAGAGCGTGAAGGAGCCTGCTCCCCTGCTTCTCTCAGGCGTATCTGCAGTTATGTGAAGAGTTGCTTCACTCCGGCAAGATCCTGTCTGTAGGCGAAGAACAGTGAAGGAAACTACTCCAAAGTAACTCCATGTGTAGTTCTTGGGGCCTGACGGGTACCTCACGAGTCAAACTGTGCTACTTTTTCCCTGTTGCGCCTTTCTCTCAGCCTGGCCTTACCTCCAAAACTCTGCCGGTGATAAACTTCCCACAACGGTCACAGTGGATCCCAAAGGTAGCGTGATAGTCTCTTTCGCAGTATGGAACGCCATCCCTGCAGGGGAGAAAAGATCACGGCCACGCAGCACTTCAGAAGGCCAGCTGGCACCACCCAACCTGTTCCCCCCCCGCAGGGTGACCGAGGGGGGCCCCCAACTTACTTGCTGATGTACTCCCCGGTGAGGAGCTTCCCACAAGCCTTGCACTTGAAGCAGGCCAGGTGCCAGTGCTGGTCCAGAGCCACCAAGGACTGGCCGTTCTTGATTTCGGAGCCACAGTTCCCGCAATCTGTGAAGAGGGAGTCAAAGCTCCGGAAGCTGCACCTGCCACACCCACCGGGCCTTGCAGGGGATCCGCCAAGACCGCCCGGGGGGAGGGAAGCCCCACAGCTGGACAATGAAGAGCCCCTTCAGGTGTGTGTGTGTGTCCCTGTCTGGAAGATCAAGCCGGGCAGGCTGAGGGGGTGTCCTGGGGCTCCACCACCGAGCAGCGATCCACACCGTGAACCGGGCCCAGAAGCCAGGGATCAGCAATCAGGATCCACCCTACTCTCACCCAACCGGGGAGGAATCCGGCTGGCACAGGCTGCCTCCATGGGCGGTGCCACGTCCCGCACATTGCAGGAGGCCAGCCAGAGGTTGAAAAATTACTCTGGGCACCGTTTACTTAACATCAAACTGGAGGCTGCAGACGAGGCAAACGTTCAGGGAGGATATTTTCCTTCGGCTATTAAAAGCAGCCGCTTCGCAATAAGATTCCTAAAGCCGCGACTTACTTCGGAGGGCTGGAAAACTGGCACCAGCAGGGGGCAGCGAACATTTCTGGCAGACGCACTCCTTGCCGTTGAAAGTCACCCGGTCCCCAGGAGGAAAAGGCTGCCTGCAGAAGGATGCAGAAGCGGCATCACTAAATGGGTCTTCCGGCTCTCTTTCCCCTTCGTCCCCCCCTCCCTTCAATCTTTTCCCCCACAGAAATCCTCTGCAGAAGGGGTCCTTTTCCTCCTCCACAAACATTCCTTCACTCCCTTTCTCAGTCACCCGGATGACTCCTGCTTGCGGCTGCCCTTCAGATCAGACCAACATTTAACCGTCTTTGCGCAGACACACGGAAGGGCACAATGTTCACTTTCTGAAGGTGCATATTTTACACAAACCACATGAGCTGGAACGAGAAAGCTACAAATGGTCATTCTCTAAGGATCTAAGAAGCTGGCTGGACCTCTCTCGACTAGCACGAAGTCTGTTCTGTATCAAGCAAGGAGGCCGCTACTAGATATTACTTGATACAGGCAGATTAACTCCACGGAAAGGCTTCACGCAGATTACTTTAATTCATCAGGCATTCTCCAAACATGAATTTACAGTTACTGTAGAGATTCTTCTGAAATACAGGTCATAATCTGGACCCATCACGTAGTTAAAAAAGGATAGCTTCTTCCATGCTAACGAAGCAAACAGATCTTGTGCCTGGACTTCATAAAGACCTCGCTGGCTGGCACGTAGCCAGGAAATCCGGTACCTCATCTGAAGTCCCTCCCAGTGGCCAGTCCGAACGCAGATATGACCAGGTAACTTAAACTACATTACCCAGAAGGCTATCCCTTAAGGGGACAGTTCTTAATTCCTAAGATAGCTATATACTCTGACCAGCACAAAGTCTCTCCAGAACTCTTCTAGGTCTTATCCAAAGCAGGGATGGAGAAGGACACAAGAAATCACCCCCCCAACAAATAAAGAGCCTGGAGGACTGGACATCATCAGCCACAGGTGGGAAATCAAAGCTTCTCCTCCTCTGAGATTTGGGGAATTCTGATGTGTTCCGAAAGGCTGCAGCCGAGTGGACAAATTTTCAGAGGAGAGAGGAAAAAAAGAGGAGCATCTCAAAAGCTGACAACAAGAGCAGAAAAAGGTTTTATCCAAAGAACTCTGAGACCTTCAGTTTCGCAATCTGGGAGAAAGAAAGTCGAGCAATTTGGAGAGACTGTCACCTTCATGATTTCACTACTCAACGAGGGTCAGCATCCTGCCTGCTCCGTTTCCATGATTCTGCATCCCAGCCCCTTTTTTTCCTGGCGTTAAATGGGATTATTAACACTCTGGGCGATTCCTGATTCTCCAGTTGTTGAAGGTTTGACAAAGAGACCAGAGGCTGTTGGGCTGACTCTCTCCCTTCTAGTGTGTGTGTGTGTGTGTGTGTGTAGGGGGGGCCTCTGGGATTACAGGGACAAACAAATCTGGGCGGCCCTTGAGGCTCATAGCACTTGGGAGCCAAGTTGGGCCCCTGGATGGAGGCTTCCGGCTTCCGGGTTTCCCATCAGCAGAGGATCTGAACTGGAGTGAAGCCGGTTCTTGGATGGAGCCCTAGGGTCTTATCCGCTGCCCTGGACACTCTCCGGAGCAGCCCCAGGGGAAAAACAGAGTGGGCTGAACCCGTTTTGGAAAGGGGGAAAGGGGGCGCCCGGGGGCCTACCTGCAGAGCACGCAGACGAAGCAGTGTGGGTGGTAGGTCTTCCCCAGGGCGGAGACCACCTCGCCCTCAATGAACTCATCGCAGCTGAAGCACCGGGTGCCGTAGAGCCGCTGGTAGTCCGAGGTGCAGATGTGATCCCCCTGCCTCACGAAGAAGCCCCCCTGGGCCAGGTCGCATCCGCAGGCTGCAAGCAAGAGAGACCCAGGGAGCTGAAGCACAAGGCCTCCCTCTCCGAGGCCCCAGGCCAGGCGCCGGGAGCGGCGGGGGAGCAGGCCAGGCATCCGAACGTTTCCTCCTCCTCCTCCTCCTGCAGGACCACCCGGGAACCAAACCACGGGGGGGAGGAGGGAGGAGGGCAGAAGAGCCTCTGATCTTGCTGGGAGTGCCGGGAACTGCCGCTTCCCCCCTTCCCTCCCAACCGGGCTGGGGGTCTTCGGGTGGCCAGGACCGGCTGCTAGCAGAGGTCAGCCAGGGGAAGAGCCCCCCTCTGTCCTCTTCTGGTGTCGACCTCCGAGGTCCCTTCCAACTCTATTACAGTTAGTCCTCTACTTACGACCATAAACGAGCCCAACATTTCTGTTGCTAAGTGAAAGTTTTGTTAAGTGACTTTTGCCCCATTTTACAACTTTTCTTTCCACAATTGTTAAGTGAATCACCGCAGTTGATAAGTAACTCGGTCGTTAAGTGAATCTGGCTTCCCCCCATTAACTTTGCTTGTCAGAAGGTCGCAAAAGGGAATCCCATGACCCCCCTGGGAGACACTGCGGCTGTCGTAAGTATGAACCACTTGCCAGGCGTCCGAATTTTGATCACGTGACCACATGGGGACGCTGCAACGGTCATAACTGTGAAAAACAGTCGTTAAGTCACTTTTTTCAGAGCACTTGTAACTTTGAACGGTCACTAAGTAAACTGTCGTAAGGTGGGGACTGCCTCTATCCTGTTATGTTGCAAGTATAGAAGGCCCAGATGTCGTCTGAACATGGGCCTTTTTTAACATTCGTATTTTACTATGATTTTAATTTAGGCAAAGTATGGATACACCCTGCAAGTCCCTGCGGGTTGTGCCACAGGCTGAATAAATAAGCCGCAGCCCCCACAGCCCTGCTGGGAGCCCCCTTCGCAGGACCCCCAGGCGCATCCCTCAGAGCCAGGGAAGCAGGCTTGGGCTGTGGCCGCACAAACTCTGCTACTCGTGCACGTGACACCATGGGGTGTACACAAAAGGGGCGCGCTTTGCCTTGGGACGGCCCAGTGCTGCGTTCATCCACGGTGCCCCCCCAAAGAGGCCTTTGTCTAGCCCTGCTCTGGTCCTCCGGCTCAAGGCGGCCTCAAGCCTCAACAAGGCTTCCCCACCTGAGGAGGACCCGGGCTGGACCGGGCTTCAGGGAAAGCATGGTGGGAGTAAAACCTCCCACGGACCCAGGAACACCCCCCCAAGGACTTCAGCTACCTCTCGCCTGTGGCCCCTCAGCTGCTCAGCTGAGGCTGGCGGTCCTGCGGCCACCAACTCACAAGGCGCTTCTCCCCACCGAGAGAAGCAGCAGCGACCCCCCCCTCCCAGCGCCAGAAGTCTAAGGGACCAGCCGCTCAGGAGTCCCGAGACACACCTCCGGGCTGTTTGGAGAGCTGCCTTCATTCTTATGAATGGAGGTCGTGGCCTGTTCTGCGAAAGGGCTGCAGGTCCTCTCATCCAGGCGCCTGCGTCCGAGCCAGAGCCCACGGTCAGTGTTGCATTTCGGCCACAGAGGCCCCGTGGTGATAAGCTCTCCTGCTCCAAAGGGCCCCCACCCTGGGAATTCCTACCGAGCGGGAGCCTGCGGACGCCCTGATTCCAGCTTTCATCATCCAGCAACTGTTTCCAGCCAGCCACTGGCCCGTCCCTCTCGCACCATGTGCCAGCTCTCCAGGGTGACATTTCAGTTCTCTGGAAGGACCCTATTTATAGTCTTGCCCAGGGAGGGGTCTGCTCTGGGCCAACTGCCTGAGCCCCCCCCCCGCCAGCAATGGCCTTGTGTTTACATAGTGTTTACTATGAAGTTACCTCTTAACCCTGCAGTCTCCTCACTGGCCAATCTGTGACCGTCGCAGAACACTTCGGTCTCTTTCTGATGTGCCCAGAAGAGGTACCTCTTTCATTCCCAGGAAAAGGCAAGATCAGGAAAAAAAATCCGATTCTCCCTTCCCTGGAAGGGTCCTGTGCCTTTGCACGTGGAAAAATAGGACAGTTAAATTAGGGTGGGCTGTGACTGCACCACTGAGTGTTGACGATCCAGTTGCTGCTACAAACCCTGAAGGCTGAGGCTTGAGAGAGACTTAACGCCACAGAGAGAGCCTTTCCTCGCCCTTCTCTCAAGCCTCGTCCTTCGGGGTTTGTAGCAGCAACTGGATCGTCAACACTCGGTGGCACAGTCACACCCCACCCTAATTTAACTGTCCTATTTTCCCACGTGCAAATTACGTTTCCCCCAATTAAGTTTCAGCTCTGGGGTATAATACAAATCTAAACCTCTGTTCAGAAATAAGGAACGATATAATACTCTGGCTATGCGTAGACCGGGGGGGGGGGGGAAAGGTTGCATGTGTGTGGGTCAAAAAAGACCAGCGGTTGGCTGTGNGGGGGGGGGGGGGGGAAAGGTTGCATGTGTGTGGGTCAAAAAAGACCAGCGGTTGGCTGTGACTGTGTGATTCCTGCATGCAGTACCTGCAAAAAGGGGACAGGACCCTCCCTCAATTTGAACTGTCCTATTTCCCCATGTGTGAATGTCTGCAAAGGGTGCCGGAGTGCAAATTTTAGGGAGGAACATCCACCCACCCCCTCTGGCAAAAAAAGCTCAGTGTTCACGTCATTTCCCCACTACAGAAGTTATCGCACGTACCTTTGCAAACGAAACACTTAATATGGAAATACTTCTTCTGCACTCTCAGCACTTCTCCTTTGCACGGACTCCCACAGTTGTGGCATAGGATGGCGGCTCCCGAGGGTGTCTCCAGGTGGCTGTGCATAGCCTGGGAGGCTGTCGGAAAGGGAAACGGCCTTTATTCAGAGGGTTACAGAGAAGGTGGCTTCCATCCCTGCTTTGGTCCTTCAGCAGAGACCGACCCGACTCTGCCCGCCCTAGAACGCGGGTCTCCAGCCGTGGCCATTTTATGACCTGTGGACTTCAACTCCCAGAATTCCCCAGCCAGCAAGAACCAACAAGTGAAGGAGAACAACTGTTTCTGCTTGAAAATAGGGCAAAAAAAAAAAAAAGATAATTTAGGAAGTATAGACCACTCACTGTCCTCAACACCTGGAAGAATCCTCAAGTAGATCATAAAAAGATCCATGAAAACAATGGAGAGGGATTGTTTCTGAAATTTTGAGAGATGGGGTGGAGAGGACGTTGGACAAAGTCCATTTCCCACAGTGGTTTCTTTAACTCAGTGGTTCTCAACCTTTTTAATGCCGCGACCCCAACCAGTCGTAAGTCAAGGACTAAACCGGTCGTAAGTCGAGGACTAAACCGGTCGTAAGTCGAGGACTAAACCGGTCGTAAGTCGAGGACTACCCAACCGGTCGTAAGTCGAGGACTTTCCCTGCCTGGGAGCGCCGTGCATGCGTGGTTCCGCCCCCTGCGCCGGCCGAGCCGTAGCTGGCAAGCGGTAGAGACGGAGCAGGCCGACCACCAGCTGGCCCAGCTCAAGGGAGGTAAGGCACCCGCCGGAAAAGGGGAAAAAAATGGCGGACAGCCTTGCTTGGCGACCCCCATGAAATGGTCGATCGACCCCAAATGGGGTCCCGACCCACAGGTTGAGAACCACTGCTTTAACTCAATAATTATTATCAGATTTGTTTTCTCTTTTTACGACCCAGTAATCCCTTGTATCGGGGTGGAGTCTGGGCGACTGAATGGAGCTGAGCATTTACTGGCCAGATGCCCTCCCTGATGCCTACGTGGGGATCGCAGTAGATATTTTCTCTTCATGCCCTGATAAACATCCGTCGCCACCTGGGATTGAACTCTCAACCTCCGAGTGGGAGGCGAGGGTCTTCCCCTCCAGGCCACCATACTGCCTTAATTATCATCAGATAATTACCTTAATGAAATTAAGAGCGATGATCATTTTCATTTCCTACAGGGTGTGTAAAGTAAGGTGTTTTATATGGAATAAGAGAGGCTACTTGTCTACTTGTCCCCTATTTTTATGATCGTTCAGGCATCAGCTTGTTTGCTTGTGAACTTGCCCAGTTGCCTTCCTATCAAAGCCGGACCCTTCATGGAGGCCTGGCTGCACCAGGACTGATGCCCGAGCGGCGTCTCTCCTACCCATCCAGGCCTTAATTGGATCGCTGCCCTCCTTGGCTGCAAGTAAGCTTGACGTTATGGATTTACACCCAGCAGGAGCCTGGAGAGAGGATGTTCTCCTGGGCTAAATTAATGATGGTAATTATGCAGCAGAAAGTCACTTTAAAGAGAATAAAATGCTCAAAAAATAGTTACCTTGGAGATTTAAGCCTGTGTTTCAGTGAATGCTGGCAGATACTCCTTATACTGTTTT